GTAAACGGCCCTCACATGACACCTCGAGGAGATGTTTGAATATCTCCTCTCGTTGCCAGTCCTTGATGTTGACCTTACTCCCTTTTCCAGTGGCGGGCTTGGCAGCTTGGGATTCCATGGTTTCAACACGGACAATCACCACGACATCGTATTCCTCTCACATTGTATAATATGTGAATACATTGATTTTTGCAGAGTGCACGATGAACACACTGATTGCATCCCACGATTGAACTGGCTTTTCCACTTAAAAGGGAACAGACTAGTACTACAGTAATTGAAAACCTTTCCAGAACTGATCAGGAGTCACTGGTTCAGGCTTTGTGTAGGGATTGCAATCCCTGGTCCCTAGAGTTCAAGAACACTGGATGGCTTCTCTGTCAAACAGACGCTTCACGGGTGAAGAGGACATCATGCTCCTCCGTGAGGTCAACGCAAGAATGCCCTTTCGAGCTCGCCGTGGTGCCATCATGGATGCCTGGGAAGAGGTGGCCACCGCTCTTGTGGCTTCGACGCGAAGCGGGCGCACAATCGTTTTACACTGCTTCTTGATGGCCATCGTAGTCTCAACAGAAAGTCCTTGCTGTTATCTGAGGTTGATGAGAATTTAGCGAGAAGACGCAGCCTCTTGATGAGCTGCTTGCCTCGTACGGCGACGCTAAGAACGAAGAGCGGGACCAGCTAGACGAAGCCCAACGTGAGGCCGAACGAATTGAGGCCTTGGGCAAGAATGTACGCGAGGAGGCGCTGCAGTCACTCGGGAAGCGGAAGGCTTCGGATGACCCAGAGACTAGTGGGGGCAGCGGAGGCGGCAGCAAATTGCTGGATCGTGTCGATGATGAAGGAGGATAACAAGGCGGAACTCGAATTTCGTAAGTTCCAGTACATAAAGGATCTTGAAGAGCGCCAAAAAGAACGCGATTTACTGCTTGAACAATCGCGAATGCAACATCAAACAATGATGAACTTGCTAGCTGCACTAAGCAACAAGCAATAATTGAGGTGTATTCATGACTTTACACTGTTGCTACTTCCAAAGTGTCTAGATACTGTTCCAACGTTGGTGGTTCTAGGTCAAAGTAGCTTGACATTTGATTTCCACCAAAATGGCAGCAATGGCAGTTTGTCAACAACATCGACACCAAAACAATTTTCGCGACAGGTGAAAGCCGAACTTTTGACAAGTTTTTTGTACGAAATAAATGCCCACAAAGACTTCAAGATTTTGAAATTCCATTCAACTGATTGCCGAACACGACTCATCCATTTATTGAACGCTTTCTGCACACTTGAAAGATCATTTCCTTTGAGCCCAGACAGCAAGAATGTCGAAACTCCATAAGCAGGATAACCATAAATGAACATATTCAGAAATAAATCAGAATGTAAAGCAAAAAAATCCAACAATGCACTGTGGCGAAGCATCGTCGTGTCGTGCTTTCTCCCTTCAACAAGACCGAAGAAGTAAATGCAGATGCTGTCGGGTGCTGTAATCCCTTGGTAGTTCAAGCAATGAACGCGCTTGTGGCCGCTGTAAACTTGCTGCTGGAGGTTGTCGCCATCGCCAGTGGATGAAATTCGACTGACAGCCAGCTTGGTACCGTCAATATAGCCGTATACCACAGGAACAGGGACGCCTTTTTGTTTGATGGCACTGCAGTATCGGTCCATGTTGCGACGCAGAAGACGTAGATTGAAGAAAAGCAAGTCGTGTCAGCGGTCGTAGATGTCTTGTATCACGAACAAAAAAATCTCGCACATAGCAGACTGAGATCGCCCAAATGTGTTTGTGATGGAATAGAGACGAGTTGGAAGTGCTAGGCGCGACAGCATGATGCACATGGCTTCGTCTCGACACACACGGTTCCTTGACTCAGTTATGATAACAGCGGGAAGTCCGAGGAGGAGTCCGAGCTTTTGAATTCCACGAACGTCAAATCGAAACTCCAGGATGGCATGTGCGTCCACGTATGCTGTCATGATGAAACGACCGTCAGGTATCAGCGGGCGTTCAATGAACGAGCAAGCAAGAAATGCAGAAACAAGTCGTCGTTGTTTTCGAGTCTTGGCAGCAATGTGCAGGGCCAGAACATCATCAAGCGAGAGTACCATCGTCAATGCAAGTTCAATTGAGGAACACTTTATCCGGAGAGTGAAGTAAATGGTGCAAAATGCAAGTATCATTCAGCCTTTTCAGAGTCACTAAAATCGTAATTTGTCACAGTGCCCTGAAGAGACTGTGAGTGCAAATTTCGCAAAATCTCTCTATTGTCCAGAAATTTCCACACAACTGGGATACAATGTCGAAGGTCTTCCTACCGAGTACTACTACACTTGACGTAGTTGCACAATTGTTGCAAGCAGTGGGTAGAGTGCTTTTTCTGGCAAGTGGGTGTAGCATGGACTCTCAAGTGATTACTATAGACTCGATATTTTGATATCGCTTGTGCATATGTTGTGTCCATCCGGAGGATCCCGTGCTGAATCTTGCAGGAACGTATAAAATTTGGCAGTATTTCGTTTTCCGGATACGGATGGGCATTACTGCGACAGCCCAATTCGCCGCTTCGTCATGGACATGGACGACCCCGTTACGGCCGTGAGCTTCTCCATCGGCTTCGCAGTGGCATTCACGATTGTGCTGTGCTACTTTCGGTATATCTGGCTTCGTGATGAAGCGGATGAAGCGTTGCTGTCGAACGAGTACACAAACGTGGACTTGTGGGAATGGCTCACGTGCACGATAGGTTTGTCGGGCACTTGACCGGTCTCACGCGCGATCAGCTCGAAGATATGTAAGTTGGCGTGAGTCGCTGGACATGCCACGTTTTTCTCAAGGTCGTGCAGGGATGAAGAAGTGAAGAAGTGGACGTGCAATGTTTGCGCCTTCCACAACCAAGATGCCTTAATCTCGTGCGTGCTGTGCGACACACCTAAAGGTACAGCCAGCCACTCGATTCCGTTGTCATCTGGACTGTAGAACTTTTCATCGTCGAGTCGCCTGCATTCGACCAGCTCCAAGGAACTATAAGTCAACTCACGGACAAGCAACTTGCTGCCAGGTATGAATTTTACACTCGATGAGTCGAAACTTCACGGCTGGCAGGTTTCGGAAGCAGTGGTGGCGTGGGTACGATGGTCGTTTGTGGCATTGGCATCACACAGACGACGCTGTTGACTCGCAGAGTTGGCACATCGTGGGCCGTACGGCGCCAAACATCAACTTAGCCTTCCTCCCGCTGGACGACGCGATCGCCGGCTACACCCTGCTGGGCCACGAACTCGACACGTGGTGGTTCTACCAGCTCAATTCACTCAGCCAATTGGCTTTTTCGATCAAATATGCGTGGCTCGTGGAGCAACTAACCGCCAACTTCGTCGGCCATGCCCGCCTCGTCGTATCCCGCGACACGATCTTGGAGCAGTCGCTAACAGGGCTAGCGAAAACGCCTCTTCGAAACCTGTGCACTCTCAGTGTGATCACCTTTGAGCACGAAACTGCTGTCGATGCCGGTGGAGTCACACGGGAATGGTACTCAGTCCTGACCATGGCCATCCTCGAGCCGACCCAAGGGCTCTTTACAGTGACCAACAACGCCGACCAGTCCTACTACATCAACCCCAACTCGGAAAAAGTCCATGGCGCGAACCACTTGGATCGATACTTGGCCATCGGCCGGTTGCTGGGCCGAGCTATCATTGACGGCCAAGTCCTGCCATTCCACT